TCAGATCTCATTGGCTCTGAAAATTTTACCAAGCTACAAGGCTGTGGGGTTAACAACAGAACATATCATTAACCCTTATGTTTCTGTAAGCCCTTCTAAAAAAATGATCAACATCTCATTTCTCCTTGTAATATCACTATTGAGTTAAACTCTAATAGGGAGCTCAGACAGTCTAGTTAGTTTCTTAGCCAGTGAGAAGACAGATCTGATAAGATGCGAGTACAATGTAAAATGACATTCTATGTAATAAATATATAGATTTAGCCAGGGATAAAAGCGAAGGTGTCGTTAATACACTAAAAAAATAAGATCGTGTGGTGCTAAACGACTACGGCAACGAGAACGGCAAAAAAAGATCGATAGGTCTAATTAGCCAAAAAAAAAAAAAAACTTTGCACATGCAGCGCACTTGTTTGGAAATTTCTTTTCCCTGTTGTTGCAACGTGAAACTTGCTGGTAACACGTTTTCAGAGAAAATGTCATATGTGCTCCTAAAAGATGTTGATGCTTGTGTTCCTATTCGCCTTTTATTTTTACTGCCGCTCATTTTTAACTTGCTGACCGCTAGCATTTCTCGTTTTCTCAACGCCGTTTTAAAATTTTCATGTTTTTCTTCCAACGAAATTCGTCACCTTTATTTTTTCATCTCTCGTTTTAGCTCTCTGTCGCTCTTATTCTCTTTGAGCTTCGCTAGCCCGCTTCGCCTACTTTCTCATTTTCTCTGTCTTTCTCTGTCTTTCTTCTCCAAATTTGTGAACATGACAATTAATCTAAGCTTAATAGCGGAGCTCTCGCGAGGTAAACTACCCATCCGAGAAAATTTGGTAATCACGTGACCGTACACCGACCGTCCGTCCGCCCGACCGTCCGTTCGCACCACAGGCATATCAATGTAAAATAATTCAATCAACAGGTATGGCAACCAAAATGCAACTCAAGGTTTTATTTGGAAAGAAATCGCATGGCCGCCCGGACTTTTAGAAAGAAGAAACAAGAAAAAAGTCGTGTCTTTTTCGACGTTACTTGAGAGAAAGAGCTAGAGCGAGTGATTGAAAACAAAAGAGACGAATTTTGTAGGAAGAAAAACATGAAAATTCAAAGCGGCTGTGAGACAATGAGAAACGCTAGCGACCAGCAAGGTGAAAATGAGCGGCAGTGAAAAATAAAAGAGAAGAACACAGGAGACAAAATACTGGGTTAGCACATACGACAATTCCTCCATAAAAATAATGTGTAACTAGGAAGTTTGGCGTTTTAGTCCTACAAAACAGCGTTGTAATTGTGCAAAACAACGCAAAAAAAGACAAAAAGCGTGCTTGCACGTGCAAATTTGTTTTTTTTGCTAATTAGAAAAAAAAGTGTGCTGCACGTGCAATTCGTTTTTTTTGCAAATTAGATCTATTGATCTTGATGCCATTTTCATTGCCCTCCCCGTTTAGCATTTCAAGATTTAATTTTTTTTGTTTACAAGTATTATTAACCAGAGCTTCGCTTTTAGCCCTGACTAAATCTATATATTACTTTAGGCAACACGGATACAGAAACAATTTCCACTTTCCGTTTTGTCTAATTGTCTCTGCTTCACAACGGGTAGCCATGCGATTTCCTGCCGAAAAAACCTTGAGTTTTTGGATTGCCATACCTCTTGTGCGAGTTATTTTACATTGGTATGCCTATGGTGCGGACGGACGTTCTCACAGTCACGTGACTACAAGTTGCTACAAAAGTTTATGGGATGCGTAGATAACCAAATTTTCTTACCAATGGTGCTCCGCTTCGCGCGTGCGAGAGCTCCGCTATAACTATTATGTTAATAAAAATGAACTACTATTCCCTCCCTATGCTCTTAAAATTATAGGAGATCAGGGAAATAAACACTTCATGAAATTAACGCGAATTTCAAAAAAAGTCGCCAGATTTCTTCGCTTGAACCCCTTCGAAAAAAGAACCACTAGCCTGCGTAGCAAGCGTTTCCAATCGAGTTATTGCGCGAAAACGCTTGCTACGCAGGCTAAAGAACCACAAACAAAAGTTTCCATTTCAGATTATACGTTAACCTCTGTTCCTGTTGTTTCAACAAGTTTTCCTTCTTTCACTTCCTGGTAAACGTCTTGTTAAGTCCTTCAGTTTAAAATGTTCCCCTTTCTTTTGCGTCAAAGTTCCTATATAATGAAGTCGTTTCCCACTAAGTTCGCGTTAATTTCCAATAGAGAGTTTTAGATCCGAGTTTACCGCGAACCTCTAACCGCGGTTTGCCGTTACCCGTTTGCGGTTCAACGTTCAAACATAATTCGATTTAGATTGGTGGTGGATTAAAGAAGTGGATTCTGGTTTATTTTTCTACTTAGAAATAGAAGAAAAATCAATCAGTGAAAATAAAAGAAATTTACGGTAACACTGGGTTATCTAGCAGCAAAGAGCTGTAAATTCTTATATTAGTTCTTCTTGCAATTTTACGGCCGCCATTTTGAACCAGCAGCCATGAATGGCACTTGTTTTCAAGATCCAATAGAATTTATCAAATTTAGCATTTCGCCCGTATTTGTGCCTTTGTTAATGGATAAAGACTTGCTCCACAAGATTTTTGTATCATTACGTGGGATAAAACAAGATTTATACTCTAAAATCTTTCAGGTAAATGACATACGTGAAAATCTATCTCCCCACGTTGAAAACGCACGTCGTAAACCTCAAACGTGACGCGAAAGACTTGTCACGTGACCTCCAGCGGTTAGAGGTTCGCGGTAAACTCGGATCTAAAACTCTCTATTACCTCAATTTCATGGAGCGTTAATTTCCTATTATAACGTGTTTTGTTTTAACATAGGTACAGACCAAAAACTGCAAGAAGAGATAAATAAATTGTTTGTCGCTTAAGACAGGCCCGCAAAAAAAAATTGCAGCGTAGGCGTTTAAGCGAAAGAATTCTTTTTAACTTCTTTCGGACGATTTTTTCAAACAAATAGTGGTGTTTTCCCCGATTTTGCCGCACGGGAAGGGCGCAACTGCTTACTAAATAACCTACGACCATCTCATCGTACCGATATGAAAGGAAATGTAATTGAGTGACCTGCGTGAAAACCATTTAAGAGACTGGTTAGCAGGGTTGATTTGGAATACTGTCTGTACTTCTCCAAAATTTCTAGGTATACCCCTAGCTAGGCTAACTCGCCCGTCCGGCCGGGCGATATTTAATGCCTTTTATATCTGAATCCACAATGGGGACGGCGACGGGAACCTCCAAAAATAAAGCAGTAGGTTTGATAAGCAAAACAACAACTACTGCACGTGCATAACACTTTTTAGTACATTTTTTTTTCTGTCAATGCACGACTACGACGTGAAATTTCCTAATTGCTCTTTGTACTGATGGAGGACATAAAATTTAAGGCCGCTTATTTCTGACCTTGACTACGGTCCTAAAGAATTCCACTCCAGCAAAGTTTGCTCCTCATTCGTTGACAAATTAGTCTAAATGGAATGATCATGTAGTTTGAAACAGCTCGAGTTTGCTTTTTCGGTGACATTTTCGCTACAATGATAATGGATCTCCATTACTTTGGTAATCAGGGTAAAAAAGGAATCAGTGAAAAATGGTGTCTGTTCCTTTACCGAAACGGGTGTTCTTCTGCTCTGGGGAAGACAAAATAGAACAACAAATTCCAAAAATCAGAGCAAAAAAGTTCAAAACCATTGGAATATTTCGTTCGAAATCGCTCGAGCTTCATCAGCGATGTAGTTAATCATGCCGGCTCTGAGTTTCAAAATTCATGTTGTTTTCATCATCTCCCTTTCTTTGTTTTTCTAACATGTTTTTCATTTATCCGTTACTACTTTTTCAGGTATGCACATGCGTTTCGTTCTACAGATACGGCTAGCTTAGCCCCTGCGAACGAAAAACAGTCACCTAGTCTCACGAGTATAGATAAGAATGAAGTGAATGAGTTCCAGCTGCATCTTGAAAAAAATAATAATAACAATGAAACATGTTATCTGAGCAAGAACTGGCCCCCTTGGTATTTGTATTAAGTTCATTTATAGTGTTGGGCTATATAGTTTTGGTGGGCGTGTGCCGAGGCGTTTGCCGTTGTTTTGCATGGCTACAACGTGAAACTTCCAGAAACATTCTAGTTACACGTTTTATGGAGGAAATGTTGTATTGTGTTCCTCCTGTTAACGTTTTATTTTTCCATGGCACTCATTTTCACCATGGTGGGCTTTAGCACTTCTCATTTTCTCACCACCGCTATAAAAGTCTCCTGTTATTCTTCCAACGTAATTAGTCTCCTTTGTTTGTTGTCTCTCGCTCCAGCTCTTTCTGTTATCAGTGTAGACATTAAAATTAAGTGGAAAGAAAGAATCGGCTTTGTTGTTGTTGTTTTATCTCTAAATGTCCGAGTGGCTGTGCAATTTACTGCCGAAACGCGCTGGTACTTACGCTATAACATATTTCTCCCCCCGACAGGCTAACTCCTGACTCCCTCCCTCCCTCAGCGTCCGCACGGAGACGTTATAACCACATTTTCTGGCATCGGTGGGTTCCCATTTTCTCTGAGGTATGGGGCTGCCCGTTCGCGGAAGCTCCGCTATGAAATTTTATTTTTTCGTGGTGAAAAGCAAAAGTGCATATCTTCGCGCCGCCGTGTAATATCCTCCATATATCTAACCCTCTCTTTCGTCCCCTAAATTTTGTACACTTGGTATAGGGTTTAATGGTGTCGATTTTTGAAGGGGGGAGCGTGGAGGCATACCCTCTCAACCTTTTTCGCGACGTCTATAGCTATTTTCCTCGATTAATATAAAAGCCTGTCTACGGTGCAACTAGCACCTACCTCATTCATAGTAACATCTTGATATTTGTTAATAGCGCAGTGTACAGCGGCATACTCCAACAAACTGGCAAAAACGAACACAAAGCATGTGATAATATAAACATCGAGAGCAGTGGCGTATGACACACTTGGAGTAGCACCGCCCCCATGAAGAAAGTTTCCCATGGCGAGAATGGTTATGACTCCCAGGGAGACCCGGGCGGGGGTGGATTCCGGATCAATCCAGAAGGAGACCCAACTAAGAAGGACAACCAAAGTAACCGGTAAATAAAAGCCGTATACGTAGAACATAAGGCGTCTTTTGAAGATGAACGTGGCATCTGGCTCAGAGAAAGCACCTAAAAAGAACATAAAACAAAGACTGAATGTCTTTGAACCAAACAGTCCTCCCCAGATTTTCTTTTGTGTGTGGAAGGGGGGTTAAGATGGCTCGATAGGGTTTTTCAGGGTCAATACCTCCCAAGTTTGAGCATAAACTACGTCGCCATTAACAAAGACATAGCTGTACACAGCTGTATTAGATGAAGATGAAAATTTGTTTTGTTCAGTGTTACAATGACATCGGAATTGTTATAGCAACGAAATGAGGCCATTACCTATTTTACTTGCAGACACATTTCTTGGCGCTGGGAGCTGTTCTTCCAAAATCGTTCACGGGAGCTTTTTCCTTCAATAGCCGCCTCGATATGTTCGTGAAGTTGAAACAAATTTATGACAGCGTTATTGACGTATTTTGGAAAGATCTATGGCCTCCACGGAGGCCATTGGTTCAATTTTTTTTTGACGGGGGGCCGGGGGCTCTTAATTTGAAATAGACCTCTTTTGCTTGTATGTTTTGTTTTCCCTTTTCAGACCATGTGATGATTGTTTCTTTCAAAAGTCGCGTTGTGCACGGGTAGATGCGTGCGCAACTAATGAAAAACAAAAGGAAAATTCCTTAGAGAAACATCCCGTGGTTCGAACTGGGAAAATATAACGTACAAATTATACAGGTCTATTGCTTAAATTGCGATTACAACTAAGATGGTTGTATTCTCACTTAGATTTGCATTGTATTTCCGCAGTTGATATCATCTTCAGTTTTGGACTAAAGTCATATTTTTCTTTTTTCTTAAAATAACTCGTATCTTGGAAATTCCTAAATTTCTAATCGATTTTTTTCTGAACCCTAAGAATCTCGACCTTCACCTCTCTGTGTGCTTTCTTGTCCAGGAAGTAACTATAAACAAGATTTTTGTATCATTACGTGGGATAAAACAAGATTTATACTCTAAAATCTTTCAGGTAAATGACATACGTGAAAATCTATCTCCCCACGTTGAAAACGCACGTCGTAAACCTCAAACGTGACGCGAAAGACTTGTCACGTGACCTCCAGCGGTTAGAGGTTCGCGGTAAACTCGGATCTAAAACTCTCTAATACCTCAATTTCATGGAGCGTTAATTTCCTATTATAACGTGTTTTGTTTTAACATAGGTACAGACCAAAAACTGCAAGAAGAGATAAATAAATTGTTTGTCGCTTAAGACAGGCCCGCAAAAAAAAATTGCAGCGTAGGCGTTTAAGCGAAAGAATTCTTTTTAACTTCTTTCGGACGATTTTTTCAAACAAATAGTGGTGTTTTCCCCGATTTTGCCGCACGGGAAGGGCGCAACTGCTTACTAAATAACCTACGACCATCTCATCGTACCGATATGAAAGGAAATGTAATTGAGTGACCTGCGTGAAAACCATTTAAGAGACTGGTTAGCAGGGTTGATTTGGAATACTGTCTGTACTTCTCCAAAATTTCTAGGTATACCCCTAGCTAGGCTAACTCGCCCGTCCGGCCGGGCGATATTTAATGCCTTTTATATCTGAATCCACAATGGGGACGGCGACGGGAACCTCCAAAAATAAAGCAGTAGGTTTGATAAGCAAAACAACAACTACTGCACGTGCATAACACTTTTTAGTACATTTTTTTTTCTGTCAATGCACGACTACGACGTGAAATTTCCTAATTGCTCTTTGTACTGATGGAGGACATAAAATTTAAGGCCGCTTATTTCTGACCTTGACTACGGTCCTAAAGAATTCCACTCCAGCAAAGTTTGCTCCTCATTCGTTGACAAATTAGTCTAAATGGAATGATCATGTAGTTTGAAACAGCTCGAGTTTGCTTTTTCGGTGACATTTTCGCTACAATGATAATGGATCTCCATTACTTTGGTAATCAGGGTAAAAAAGGAATCAGTGAAAAATGGTGTCTGTTCCTTTACCGAAACGGGTGTTCTTCTGCTCTGGGGAAGACAAAATAGAACAACAAATTCCAAAAATCAGAGCAAAAAAGTTCAAAACCATTGGAATATTTCGTTCGAAATCGCTCGAGCTTCATCAGCGATGTAGTTAATCATGCCGGCTCTGAGTTTCAAAATTCATGTTGTTTTCATCATCTCCCTTTCTTTGTTTTTCTAACATGTTTTTCATTTATCCGTTACTACTTTTTCAGGTATGCACATGCGTTTCGTTCTACAGATACGGCTAGCTTAGCCCCTGCGAACGAAAAACAGTCACCTAGTCTCACGAGTATAGATAAGAATGAAGTGAATGAGTTCCAGCTGCATCTTGAAAAAAATAATAATAACAATGAAACATGTTATCTGAGCAAGAACTGGCCCCCTTGGTATTTGTATTAAGTTCATTTATAGTGTTGGGCTATATAGTTTTGGTGGGCGTGTGCCGAGGCGTTTGCCGTTGTTTTGCATGGCTACAACGTGAAACTTCCAGAAACATTCTAGTTACACGTTTTATGGAGGAAATGTTGTATTGTGTTCCTCCTGTTAACGTTTTATTTTTCCATGGCACTCATTTTCACCATGGTGGGCTTTAGCACTTCTCATTTTCTCACCACCGCTATAAAAGTCTCCTGTTATTCTTCCAACGTAATTAGTCTCCTTTGTTTGTTGTCTCTCGCTCCAGCTCTTTCTGTTATCAGTGTAGACATTAAAATTAAGTGGAAAGAAAGAATCGGCTTTGTTGTTGTTGTTTTATCTCTAAATGTCCGAGTGGCTGTGCAATTTACTGCCGAAACGCGCTGGTACTTACGCTATAACATATTTCTCCCCCCGACAGGCTAACTCCTGACTCCCTCCCTCCCTCAGCGTCCGCACGGAGACGTTATAACCACATTTTCTGGCATCGGTGGGTTCCCATTTTCTCTGAGGTATGGGGCTGCCCGTTCGCGGAAGCTCCGCTATGAAATTTTATTTTTTCGTGGTGAAAAGCAAAAGTGCATATCTTCGCGCCGCCGTGTAATATCCTCCATATATCTAACCCTCTCTTTCGTCCCCTAAATTTTGTACACTTGGTATAGGGTTTAATGGTGTCGATTTTTGAAGGGGGGAGCGTGGAGGCATACCCTCTCAACCTTTTTCGCGACGTCTATAGCTATTTTCCTCGATTAATATAAAAGCCTGTCTACGGTGCAACTAGCACCTACCTCATTCATAGTAACATCTTGATATTTGTTAATAGCGCAGTGTACAGCGGCATACTCCAACAAACTGGCAAAAACGAACACAAAGCATGTGATAATATAAACATCGAGAGCAGTGGCGTATGACACACTTGGAGTAGCACCGCCCCCATGAAGAAAGTTTCCCATGGCGAGAATGGTTATGACTCCCAGGGAGACCCGGGCGGGGGTGGATTCCGGATCAATCCAGAAGGAGACCCAACTAAGAAGGACAACCAAAGTAACCGGTAAATAAAAGCCGTATACGTAGAACATAAGGCGTCTTTTGAAGATGAACGTGGCATCTGGCTCAGAGAAAGCACCTAAAAAGAACATAAAACAAAGACTGAATGTCTTTGAACCAAACAGTCCTCCCCAGATTTTCTTTTGTGTGTGGAAGGGGGGTTAAGATGGCTCGATAGGGTTTTTCAGGGTCAATACCTCCCAAGTTTGAGCATAAACTACGTCGCCATTAACAAAGACATAGCTGTACACAGCTGTATTAGATGAAGATGAAAATTTGTTTTGTTCAGTGTTACAATGACATCGGAATTGTTATAGCAACGAAATGAGGCCATTACCTATTTTACTTGCAGACACATTTCTTGGCGCTGGGAGCTGTTCTTCCAAAATCGTTCACGGGAGCTTTTTCCTTCAATAGCCGCCTCGATATGTTCGTGAAGTTGAAACAAATTTATGACAGCGTTATTGACGTATTTTGGAAAGATCTATGGCCTCCACGGAGGCCATTGGTTCAATTTTTTTTTGACGGGGGGCCGGGGGCTCTTAATTTGAAATAGACCTCTTTTGCTTGTATGTTTTGTTTTCCCTTTTCAGACCATGTGATGATTGTTTCTTTCAAAAGTCGCGTTGTGCACGGGTAGATGCGTGCGCAACTAATGAAAAACAAAAGGAAAATTCCTTAGAGAAACATCCCGTGGTTCGAACTGGGAAAATATAACGTACAAATTATACAGGTCTATTGCTTAAATTGCGATTACAACTAAGATGGTTGTATTCTCACTTAGATTTGCATTGTATTTCCGCAGTTGATATCATCTTCAGTTTTGGACTAAAGTCATATTTTTCTTTTTTCTTAAAATAACTCGTATCTTGGAAATTCCTAAATTTCTAATCGATTTTTTTCTGAACCCTAAGAATCTCGACCTTCACCTCTCTGTGTGCTTTCTTGTCCAGGAAGTAACTATAAGGAAATAAAATAAAAGCGAAATAATAACTAAAGATAACTAGGGCAGCGTAAGAAACTGAACCAAGCTAACCTGTGGTATAGACTCCTCTGTTATTTTTGGCTTTTACTTTGCTTAAATCGTACTGAGGTATCTCCACGTCACTGGGAAAAAATATTCCATTGTCATTCCTCCATTTTACAATGACATTATCCTCCGTTTCCGAGTCTTATGCAAGAAAAAAATGGATAAAACGAATACAAGCATAAGTAACAACAGCGAGTCAGATTCAATATTTACGGAGTTTGCGCAGTAAAACGACGACAGCAAAGACGTCACGAAAGTGATATTTCAAACTTTATACCTCAATGATTCTAACTCGCTTAATTTGTCAACTGTTGGCGAGTGTTCCTACCGTTGAATTGCAGAGACCACAATCAAGTTTAAAAATAGAAAGGAATCATTTATCTCGTACCCAAATCTCTTATTGACGAATCTGGTCAAATCCGATTTGTTCACGTGAGCGCCTGTTAGGAATGTGGCAGGCGATGAAAGGGCGCAGGCTCGAAATAAATCCTCAAAATCGGGGCCGTTTTTCGACGTGATAAATTACGAATTTGTTAGAGCTATGAGGTTTTCTATAACAAAACGTGTTGATAAGCTTATCTTAAGTATGAACCAAATAATTTGTTGCTTTTATTCTTTGTAGCATCAAATTCAACGAATCAGTTATGTTAATTTTATTTACCATAGCGCGCGTTAGAAGTTCAAATCAATACGCGTACTGATTTGATTTTTTTTACCCTTTCAAAAGTCTTTACATTGATACCGAGAGAGAGTTTTAAAAAGTCTTTAAAGATAAGATAAAAATAGTTGTACAAGTTATATTGAGACGGAAACTACTTCTTCAGTGAAAATTTTTATTTAAATAGACTCTACTAGTACTGAAAACTTTGCAAAGAATGAATTGCACACGCCATAGCACGGGCAGAAGACAACACTCGCGTCATTCGCTCACAATCTAGTCAAACAAAAAACTGAATTTTCTTCGACAAGAGATCTGGGTACGAGATTAAGGAATCATGCCCTCCATCGGAACATTTGTCGACTTGTGTAGAGGACAGCAAAGAAAAGGTGCCTAAAAGCACGATGCAAAACACAGAGTTGGTGTTTCTTTGAGATGCAATTGCAACCGTCGTCACCGTTGTATAAACTCCCTAATGTTTAGAAAGAGAGTTATGTTTTTACACAAGATCACTTTCTTGAGGCAGTTATTTCTACCAAGATTCAAAAGAAAATTTAAGATAAGTGTAGCGGGAAACCACACAAAACAGAATACAACGGTACTTTGTGCTGCCAACTTTCTTTTTGTTGACTTGTTCCAGAAGTTACTGTACTGTGGCGAGGGTGGCATGCTATGATAGCCTGAGAAAAAAACCGACATTTCTTGACGTCACCACTGGTTTCCTCGCGAAATGACGTCTGAGGAAGGAGCGCAGACATTCCAAACTGATGACGTTCACTACCCAGATCTAGGTAGTGCTCCTGATTGGTCATGTCGCGTGGGAAATTTGCTACAGCCAATCAGAAGTACTACCCAGATCTAGGTAGTGAAGCGTCATCAGTATGGAATTTTTGCGCTCGTTTCTCAGTACGTCATTTCACGGAGAAAACGGTGGTGACGTCGCAAAATGTCGACAGTTTTCTCAGGCTAGCACTATGACCAAAGGGAACTTTTAATCAGTTGAAAATTGGAGGGATTAAATAGCCCTTTTACCGTAANATTCTTTGTAGCATCAAATTCAACGAATCAGTTATGTTAATTTTATTTACCATAGCGCGCGTTAGAAGTTCAAATCAATACGCGTACTGATTTGATTTTTTTTACCCTTTCAAAAGTCTTTACATTGATACCGAGAGAGAGTTTTAAAAAGTCTTTAAAGATAAGATAAAAATAGTTGTACAAGTTATATTGAGACGGAAACTACTTCTTCAGTGAAAATTTTTATTTAAATAGACTCTACTAGTACTGAAAACTTTGCAAAGAATGAATTGCACACGCCATAGCACGGGCAGAAGACAACACTCGCGTCATTCGCTCACAATCTAGTCAAACAAAAAACTGAATTTTCTTCGACAAGAGATCTGGGTACGAGATTAAGGAATCATGCCCTCCATCGGAACATTTGTCGACTTGTGTAGAGGACAGCAAAGAAAAGGTGCCTAAAAGCACGATGCAAAACACAGAGTTGGTGTTTCTTTGAGATGCAATTGCAACCGTCGTCACCGTTGTATAAACTCCCTAATGTTTAGAAAGAGAGTTATGTTTTTACACAAGATCACTTTCTTGAGGCAGTTATTTCTACCAAGATTCAAAAGAAAATTTAAGATAAGTGTAGCGGGAAACCACACAAAACAGAATACAACGGTACTTTGTGCTGCCAACTTTCTTTTTGTTGACTTGTTCCAGAAGTTACTGTACTGTGGCGAGGGTGGCATGCTATGATAGCCTGAGAAAAAAACCGACATTTCTTGACGTCACCACTGGTTTCCTCGCGAAATGACGTCTGAGGAAGGAGCGCAGACATTCCAAACTGATGACGTTCACTACCCAGATCTAGGTAGTGCTCCTGATTGGTCATGTCGCGTGGGAAATTTGCTACAGCCAATCAGAAGTACTACCCAGATCTAGGTAGTGAAGCGTCATCAGTATGGAATTTTTGCGCTCGTTTCTCAGTACGTCATTTCACGGAGAAAACGGTGGTGACGTCGCAAAATGTCGACAGTTTTCTCAGGCTAGCACTATGACCAAAGGGAACTTTTAATCAGTTGAAAATTGGAGGGATTAAATAGCCCTTTTACCGTAATGGCTGGCCTTGTATATTAGAATATTTAAACAACGGTAATTTCAAGTTACTTACAGGAACCAACTTGAAAATGGCATATCTGTTGATCCATAGGAAAATGTCGAAAGTCCATCTGACAATCAAGTACAGTGGTTATTCTGCAAGAGAAAAATTTTTTTTTATAGAAGTGGTGGTTACCCAGAGTGGAAATTATTAGAAACACCAGCTTCTCGCTTACATGCACGGGTGGACGGACGAAAACGGAGGTTTTCAAATCCGATGGTGTCATAAATCATATATTACAAGCATTACGCATGCTCTGTAAGGGATACTATCGAATTTCTATCGTTTAAGCGTATCATGTCAAGTGGATGAGCGAATGTATCATGTCAAGTGGATAAGCGTGTGAACGCGCATTTTTTTTTGAAAACGGAGAAAAAAATCTCCGAAAATGACGACCCTCCGAAAGTAGCGACCTCAAAAGTTGTTTCCGTCTTTGCTCAAAATAACGAAAAATTAAAGATACAACAAGCTTTACCAAACTGATCCGAGGTTTATTTTTAACGATTATATTGAAATTTTGACGTTCCTTTAAAATATAGTTCTAAAAGTACACTACACTTTTTCCAAAAAGTCTTAGTAGTCTGTGAATAGCCATATCGTAATCGAACAAGTCTTTAGGATTTTTATTCAAAACAATAACATGAAATAAAATGAAATAAGTTTCTTAAAAAAAAAAGTGTAGATGTTTTCACATAAGTCATGATTTAGTTAGCGTTACTTCGAACAGCTCAAATGGATGTGCAGTATGCATTTTAGCTACCCGAAAGTAGCGACCCCCTGAATATAGCGACCCCACCGATAGTAGCGATAGGAAAAGGCTGCTAAATCCGAAACGAGCGAGGGTCGTTTAATACTTTCGGAACTTTACGGTACCCGGATACATGTGGACCAGGACGGCAGGGCGGTAGATTTCAATTGTTTTAGCATGAGAGGGGACCGAGAGGGAATCAAAGGACGTTGGTCGGGATCTGTGAATTTCACTGAGGTTATTTTTAGAGGTTGTAATTAAACCGAAGTCTAACCGAAGTCTAACCGAGGTTGTAATTAAACCGAAGTCTAACCGAAGTCCTGAGACGTCCGCTCATTTAATTTTAATCGATTGTTTGACACGTCATCGATTCCACGTG